CAACTGGAAGTCAAGCTGTCAAAAACTTTGCATGGAACTATTACCTAAATTAAAAATTCTGTGTTCAAAGAAGTCTATTCTGATTGACTTTTATAGGAAAATATAAGTATAAATAAAATATAAATGGAGGAGGAAATTGAAGCAAAAAAGTTTCAGTTGTTTCTAAAGTTTGAAAACCAACGCTGTAAGGAAAGGCAATGTTGCTTCAGCTCCCAAGATAAGGTGGTGGTAGTTCTGATCCTGATTAAAAAAAGTGTGTTCCTGAAAAGGGATTGCCCTCCTAGGTCACATGGGCAGGTGTGGCTGTGGGCAGAGGTGTGAGAAGGAACCCAAGGTTGGAGTCAATTCCAGAAGCTGGGAAAAACCAAGGGGCTTACTGGTGTAGTGCTTCTCTAAGTGCAAAATGCTTACAGAAAATTGAATCATCATATTATGAGAACTCGATTCTCATCAGCATCTTAAATCCCTTTGATTAGATCAAGGATAAAGGGCTAAAGGGCTTTTGCTCTTGCCCATGAAGAATTAAGTGCTGTGGGAATTGCCTTCCTGCTGTAGTAAACACCTGAAAAGTGGACACCATAGACAAAACAACAGTTTTCAGATATTGGGCAATAGGCAGCACAGGACTTTTGTCCCTGAAAGGGAAACAAGGTCCACAACTGCCCCAGTGTAGTGCCAGGAGGCAGTATCCAGACCACAGCTCAGGAAGGGGAAACTGAATAGACTCAATTTGGTGGAGGAGAGATCAAAGTTCAGGGAGGCCAAGATGCTACAATGTGTAAGGCAGAGTCCTGGATGGGAAGGAGGTTTGAAGAGACAGAGCAATAGAGATATGCAGAGGGACCCCCTTAGTCCTGGCTGGAGTCCTAATCTGCACGTGCAGGGGAGGGGACTCCTCAAGGCCAGGAAAGAACCACCTGGAGTCTAGGCAGGGCTGCTGAATAGTTTCCAATGTTCAGGATGGAAAGACCTCATAATATACTGGCATTGGGTGGAATTTGCAGGATAAATCCTTATTTTCAGCAGGGCAAGATTAGCCTAAACTAAAGCTTCATTAGGCTCACCCTAAGTAAGTCTAAAAAACAACACTTGAAAGGATCCAACTGATCACAAGTAATTTAAACTGTGGGTAAGAACAGTCCACTGCTATTTAAGGGATACAACAAAATCCACCACCCAAAAATGTTAAGTTTTACAACGCTTGGCATCCAAAAAAAATCAGACATGCAAAGAAGCAGAGAAATAAGACCCATCCAAAATTAGAAAAGATAAATCAATAGAAACAGCTCCAGGAATGTCAAAGATGATGGAATACTATAATAGACAAGGATCTTAAACTACTACTGTTAAGTCTTAAAATATGTTCAGGTACATAAAGCAGGGACCAAGTACACATGGCCTATGAGCCAAATTTGGCCCGCTGCCTGTGTTTGTAAACAAAGCTTTATTGGAACACAACCAAGCTCATTCATTTATGTATTATCTGTTGCTGCTTCCATGCTACCATGGCAAAGTTGAGTAGTGATAAAGATTGCAAAGGGCTGCAAAGCCTAAGATACTTATTTTCTGATTTTTTACACCAAATGTTTGCTGACCCCTGATGTAAAGGAAAGCATGAACACGAGGAGGGAAATGAAAGATGTGTGTGTGTGTGTGTGTGTGTGTGTGTGTCCCCAAATAAAACTTCTAAGGATGGGACATACAGTATTTGAAAAGTATACTGGACGGAATTAATATGAAGATGAATCTGACCTAATCTGTTTTCAAAGAAGCTCATCATCTGGTGGGATAGGCTGATTTCTTTTGACAACAGAGGGGCGGAAGGTGTGTGGCTGGGTTAAAAGAACAGCAGTCTGCAATTCCAAATTCCTGGAGTTAAGGTGTGTACCAGGTTAAAATTCCTCACCAAAGGGTCGATGGTATTTGAAGCACCTTGGCCGGTTCCAGAGGTCAGAGCACAGGCCTACAGAGTGGACATTACTCCCTATCCCAGTGGCATGGCCGATGTTGGGAGCCCTGGTTTCAGTTCAGTTGTGGCTTTTTGATAGCACAGACTCTAATTCCTCAAGCTCACACTATTATAATCAGTGACACAAGTTGCTGATTTTGGACAACAGTTCTGTGCTAAGCCACCCTCAGAAATATGTTTTTTAAAGGTCATTACTGTTTGAAACCATGAATCATCAGCATGTCTAATTTCAAGCCACTCCCATATATGAGAAAAGAGGTTTATTGCTCATGTTTATGTAATACTTCACTATGAGCCAGGAACCGTACTAAGGCTTCTACCTGGACTTCACTCATAATAGTACTTAGAAACCACCCACCTCGGGTGCCTGGGTGGCTCAGTTGGTTAAGCGACTGCCTTCGGCTCAGGTCATGATCCTGGAGTCCCGGGATCGAGTCCCACATCGGGCTCCCTGCTCAGCGGGGAGTCTGTTTCTCCCTCTGACCCTCTTCCCTCTCGTGCTGTCTCTCATTCTCTCTCTAATAAATAAATAAATAAAATCTGGAAAAAAAAAAAAAAGAAAAGAAACCACCCACCTCCACCCTTTTCTAACCGAAGAAACTAAAGCAAGGGATAATTAAATAACTTGTTCAAGTCCACAAGGCTGGGGAGTCGGGATTCGAACTCGGGGATGCCAAGACTTGCCCTCTGGACTACTGTACTGGCTCTTGTATAAAGCACCTGTTCTAACGCCTGGTAACACACTTGCCACGAGACAGCCATTAATGGATCCCAGATTTTAATGGGACCGGAAAACTTTGTGAGAAGTCGGATTCCAACCCCCCACCCCCCCACCCCATTAGGGAACAAAATGGCTGGAGAAAAAAAAAACCAAATCAGATGTAGAAATTACGCTTTTTCATATATAACAAGATTCCATTTGCTCTTTAGGCAACGATACTTACTTAGAATCTTTGGAAACATCTTACACAGACACTCGGCAGTTTTTTCCTGATTTACTTCCTTCCCACGCTGCCTCCAATCACAACACTTAGATTTCCCAAATGATGAGGGCCAAAATAATACATGTGGCTATGAGACCAGGGCTCTTTTCACAAATTCCCATCTTTGTTTCCTCTTAGCTTGTCAGTAAGTTCTGGTGCAACAAAGCATTTTTGGCCAGGCAATTATTAAGTAGTCATGCAGCAGAGACAGAACCAGTGATGAGAATTTTGGTCCATTTACTGCAGCAAGGAGTATAAAGCACAATTCCCTTAGCAGTAGACTTACAGTGGCATGACCTAAGAGGATAATGTGTATGAGACACAACAGCAATGTAGTATTTCAAAATGTGCATTTAATGGCCATTCCATCAAAATCAAGCAGAATCACATTTCAAAATATATGAAGTCTTATGTGTGTGTCTGTATACACACGCATGTGCACAGACACACACACTTTTTTTAAGGCGCATTTCCAAGTTTTATTTGGGCTTCATTTCTTCTTGGCTGCCTCAGGTGTTCTCGCAGGTACAATTAGCATAGAACTTCTGAGGTTGATAGCTTCTCATGCACTGAAAGATAAGATTCTAACAACATTGCACGTCTTGGATATGTTAGAAATCCCAAAAGCCATATGTAACTTCAGAAAACTTAATACCAGTCATGAAAGACATTATTCAACATAAAATTTAGGCACTCTCTACTTTGGAATAACCACAAAATATACTGACAAGAGTTAATGCACTTTGTGATTACTTCTATTCAAAGGTAATTCTCAATTAAAATCTGTAATTATTAAATAACATTTTTAAATCAGAGCCCATTCCATTTTGTTAACGACTGTGAACCATCTCCAGCATTGTGTTTTAGTTCAAAGATACTAAACTACTTCTATTACTGATCCTGGTACTCATCTTTCATGGTATATTTTTTTACAGAAGAACCTATAACATTAACTGATAAGCATCTCCCCGCCCCCACCTCCTGCTAATACCTAAATAAGAATGCCTCTATTCAACTTTAAAGGTATTTTTGTATTTTCTGCTGCCGTTGCTTTCTTAGCATGTAAAACTTTAGCAAATGAGGGGCTTCCTGAAGATCAGGCAACATTAGTCAAGTAGCCCCCTCACTGATTCTTAGGCTGAGTTCATTTCCACAGTCACTTGGTGGCCAAGCATGCTGCTCCATCCCTATGCTCCTACAGTTTGTGCTGCCAGATTGGCCAGTAGGGAGCCAAGGGAAAGGATGCTCAAATTTGTCACTCCACTTTGCACAAGTCCAAGGCCACCCAGACCTCATCTGACTTGAGGGAAAACTTACTGATCTCTGCAGACTGGTGCTGGGGCTTCTACCTCCTTGTCTGAAGACTGAAGGGGAGGCAATGATGCCTGCCTACTGAGATGCCATTAACCCCAGTTGAACTTGCTGGACTTGAATATAATTTAGCACATTTAGAATTCAGAACATGGATGCTAACTGTTCCCGTGGAGAACAAGGTGCATTTGCTCAGTGGTACAGGTTTATGTAGCCAAGAAAACAACTAGAAAGCCCTCCAGAATTTTCAGGTTATAGTCTGCAAATGGACTCATCATAATCACCAATGACTAGCTTATAAAGATCTATCCAGAGAAACAAATTTGAGACATATCTGACTCTAAGTCGTGCAGAAAAGAGCACAATAATTTCCCATAGGAGACTTGGGTGTTTCATCATGGGGATCAATGGTAAGTTAATTACACTATTAATGTTTTCTGGCATACCTGGAAGAGACACTTAGCATAAGTAAATCATGAGTGAGATGACAAGTTGCTTAACATTTGTTTCTGTTCATCAGAGGACCTGTGAGCTTGTTGTAAGCCTCTGAGTGAGGAGGGATGGGCAGAGAAGGGCGCAGGAATGAGAGCTGGTTAACTTCAGCTGCAGCAAATAGAATCAGAACCAGTTACTACTAGTGGCTAAACATGGATGTGAGATGCAAATCAGGTAAGACTCGTTCTAGGTTTAGAAATTCACCTCACCAAGAGGCTGAAGGTTGATTTGGGCAATTCATGTGAAATCTTGCCAACTCTCCTGGGCAAAGTGGGTGAGGGGGTCAATGAAGGTGGATTCTAGTGGAGGCTGCTTTTCATCCTCTCTCAGGGCTTCATCTTCCTACGGATACTCTACACCATCTATCTTGTGATTAGGACCTGGGGCTCATGACAGCACAGTTAAGATTACAGTCCCTTTCTGGCGTTTTAGAACGGCCACTGCTTGCTCATGAGTAACACCTTCCAGCGTCTCGCCATTGACAGCTAAAATCTGATCGCCTCGCTTCAACTGGCCATCATCTGCAGCTGCTCCCTACAAACAAGAGATTCCAGTTTAATCCAGGACCAAGCAGTTCACAAATAATAGTAATATTATGGTGTGCTTATGAAAAGAGCAACTTTAAAAACTACCAGTTAAAAGTGATTTCTAGGTAATGTTTTTCAACCAGGGAAATTATGAATATAGGATGTGTTACTTGAATAATGGTTGAATAGTAACCATAATTATGCACTGCTTAGGTAACATACTAGTAGACATGTACTGACATTCACATTTCTTTTAATACTAGTAGGACCTCATTTCAATATTCAGTATGGAATGGAATTTGAATGTCATATTCACGAATACATAATACACTGACAAAGGCAGAACCGAATCTGGTGTTAGTCTTATTGCCAATAACATCATTACATAGGGTTCCCATTGCATTATTAAGATATCAGTACTGAGGTGATCTGTCAAAAATTAAGTGTAGCCTCGGGGCGCCTAGCTGGCTCAGTTGGTAGATCATGCAACTCTTGATCTTGGGGTCAAGAGTTCTGAACCCCATGTTGGGTGTAAAGATTACTTAAATAAATAAACTTAAAAAATAAATGTAGCCTCTAAATGGGGTGAATTGTACGGTATGTGTGTTGTCTCTCAATAGAGTTGTTTTACATAAACATTTATATAAAACACACAAAGTGTAACATCTCTAAAATTTTGCAATATCACATTCAAAAGCTTCAACTTCATTTATCCTTCATCATTTAGAGTTCTGAATGATTACTTTCATTACATGCTCAGTCATGCATGGCTGCTCAAAATGGCACAAAGCAAGTGAAACTTGGGCTTTTTAAAATTCTAAAACCAAGTTATCTAAAAATACCGTGGTATTACTATAAATATTTTGGATGAGTAAGGAAATAAAATAACCTAGGCAGTGATTTGTAGAAGGCTTTCTCCTTTTGTTGGGGTAACTGTGAAAATCCCTTGAAAAATTAGTGCCGGGAGAGTCCCCTAAATGATGTTGAACTGCTGGGGAAAATAATCGAGGCCCACAGTCCTGCTGGACTCAGGCAGGAGCCAGACTGAAAGGCACTAACTAATGCCCCAGAGACCTGTGTCTACCTGCAGTATGAAGGTCCTCAGGTGATGGGTGAATTATCTAGAATTTCAAAACTGTAAAAAGGGTGGAATTCTGGTATTAAGGTATAATAAAGATTATTCAAAACCAGGTCTGTACTGGGGGCTAATACCAAAATTAAAAAAACTTGTAACTTCATTCAAATCTTTTTTTTCTTTTAAGAAAGTATGTTAACTGCAACACAGACAAGATTAAACAGCTTGTGGATAAAATCAGAATTATATGGCTAACTTGATTTTATTAAATATTACATGCTAAGATCTAAGGACTTTAGGAAACCTCAGATATTTGTGTACTTTTTTTGAAAAGCATATCGTTTTTTAAGTTTTCATTTTCAGTAATGCAAAAAAGGGTGACTTTTCAACTTTCTGGGATCTGTATATTTTTGCAGGTATTGCTGTGTTTACCCGGTCATTACTACTGACCTCTCCTGCTTGATCAGTGTGGCATTTGTAGACTACGCAAAGGAAGAAATAAATGATTCACAGACAGACCTCCATCTAGTTCATAAGTGTGGCTTTACCCACTTGCTGTGTCCCCAATTTGTCACTCAGCCTTCCCTAATACTGTAAAATAGGCATCTACTACCTACCTGTTGGCCTGTTCTAAGGAGTGAATGTATGGCACATGGTATTTACTCAATAATGGTGGTAGTGTGATAAAATAAACTCTCATGGTGATTGAGCTCATGTTTTCAGATTTCACAGTCTCTGAAAAGCTGTTCCCTAAATGCTCGGGATTGTTGTTGTCGTTGTAAGCCAGTTTTTTGTTGGCTTATGGTAAAATCTGATTGCTGAAAAGACTGAGACCTAACGCTGGCTTTGACTTTGAAGTTTCCAATCAAACACCTGAAAGAAATGGAAGGTTCTGATAGCCCGTTAATCAGATTAAGTCCCCAAAATCCTATACATTCAAAGTGCCTGTCATGCTTCCTATTTCTGGAGGGGAAAAAAAGACCTCGATGGGCCAAATTAATAGCTTAGTTGAGCAAGAGAATTATTAAAAGAAGCTTAGGGACACTAAGAAGGTCCCATAAAAACCCCCACCCTGTGGGTATTTGAGATCCAGAAACTTCAGAAGACAAACATTTTTAAGAATAAATGATCATTGTTGGGCACCTGGCTGGCTCAGTCAGAAAAGCATGTGGTTCTTGATCTCAGGGTCATGAGTTCAAGCCCCACGTTGGGGTGTAGAGATTACTGAAGTAAACTTAAAAAAAGAGTGTATGTTCATTGTTTAAAAACATGGAAAACATAGCGATAGTTTCTACATCCTCAAAATTCCTATGGAGGAAATGTTTATCTTAGTGTCAAAATTCATTTTTAGAAGGATTTCACCATTAAAAAAGACAAACAAACCAAAAAACTCTTTTGCTAGTTTTTGGTTTATTGATTCTCTAAAGAAAACTTTTAAATTTGGATATATTGGTTCACTCAAACAAATCAAAAAAAAAAAGTCATCCAATGAGATATCATTATAATAAACACTATGGAACTATCTAAAACTAATGATAATAATTGTTTGCAGTGGCATATTCTTTTATTGAGACTGAACTAAGTAGGCTATTAGCTAGGGCTTTAAAACTTTTTTTTTTTTTTAATTCAGAGCTTTTCATTTTTAGGTGTGCCTCACTTTACAAACAAAGGTCCATTCCTTAAAAAACAAAACATATCAAGGATATTCAATATTTCCTCCTAGGTCACCACTTGCAGACGTGCTTTCTAAGTGAGCACTTTCAATGAGGACCTTTGAAGACAGATTCTGTGGGAGCTTCCGTGCATTCATTATCCCCATTACTTTGTCCCACTGTGATCTGATGGTGGTTTCTTTTCAAAAACCCACCAGCCATGCATGACCATTTCATTCTCAGCTGTATGTTCTGCGGACCTGACCGAAGGTGCCTGCACCCGGTCCCAATGTCTGTGAGTTGTCTAGATGGGTATAGCTGGTGTGACTGCTAACTCTAGGCTGTAGGTCAAAAGGCCTGAGAAACTGACCAGTCCTCTGTTTGAACATAGCAGATCCACCTATGAAGTGAGCAGGGGATTACAAACATTCTGGAAGGGCTTTACGGAGGCCAAGGCAGGGAAGCAGAATGTGTTTTTCACTATTCTTATCTACATAGCTGGCTTTCTTAAAAAGCAAAGTATAATAATGCCCCCCCCAAAATAATTGTCACAACTACTTTGTTATATATATATATATATATATTTAAATATATCCAAATTTAAAAATGAAAATTATCCCAACTACTGTTGTCTCAGGAAAAGGAGGGTCTGTATGTAGCTTACCACCTTGGGAATTATCAGACTGGGGCAGCCCTGCTATCCAGAATGTTTCTGACTTGCCTTTCCTCTTCCCTTTTGCCCATCACTGGGTCAACAGGTGTGTGGTTTGGAAATAACAGGTCTTCTTAATAGGCACCCTAACAAACTGGAAACAGGTGGGTAAATCTGCAGCTGCCTACTGTGTTCCAAAAGGAAATGCCAAATGACTTAAAGATTATGTCAGGTCACAGTTAGATTCCATTAACGGGTGGTAAGAGCTGCACAGGTAAAAGTGAACTTGTTATTTAGTGTATAGTGTAGCTTTCTAGAAAGAGTATCTATCTTATTTCTTCTCTTGAAGACCTTTATTTCTTTAGGAAAAAGCAATAGGAGGCCACTGGATCAATGAGTAAACAAATGACTGCGATAAAACCAATGAAGAATAAAGCTGTACTATCAATACTAAGTCCCTTTCAGAGATCTTCAAAATTTATAATAAAAATGAATTCCAACTTTAAAAATCACAATAAAGTTAAAAATAACTTATCTAAGGGGCGCCTGACTGGCTCAGTTGGAAGGGCATGTGACTCTTGATCTCTAGGTTGTGAGTTCAAGCCCACATTGGGCGTAGAGATTATTTAAATAAAGAAACTTAAAAACAAAAACATAAACAAACCCTTACCTAAGAGCCATCTAAAGGCAGCAGTAGGAATTTATACCATGACCTATGAATCAAGTAGGATGTACTGATATGTTTAGGTCCTGAAAAGCACTATTATGCAGTCAGAGTCTAATTTAGTGGCCTGATCCTGCAAGTACCTTAGCAGAGGTCTGGAAGAGAGAGAGCAACTTAAGCAAAAGCATCCTGAGGTTACTGCTGACAGCCAGCCATTAATGCCGCACCGAACCAAGGCCCGTACAGAGCTTTCTGCCCTGGCCCTCTGCTGTCATCTTTTCTTGAAGGAGAAAGCCAAACTTTTGTTCTAGCCCAGAATAATACTTCCAAGGCCAGGTTCCAAAGAGTGGGGCACTGCTCCTTATATCGTGTTCTTGAAAGAAGACACTTTTTAAAATCTACTTTTGTAATAGGGTCCAAAGAAAATTACTCTTCCTGTAACTCCACTCTTACAAAAGAACTCTTTCACTAGTCTGGTGTGGGAATGTCCTACACAAGGTTAAAATGAAATAAGCATACAAGCACACACCCAGCTGTAGCTAAAAGTAAGCAAGGCAAAGCACTTTAAAAAAAATCTCACCTAGGTTTAATAAAAAAAAAAAAAAGTACAGTAAAAAGGAAAAAAATACCTTTGCAAATATAGTCTTGACATAAATTGGCAGGTCTCCATGGGGACTTCCATAACCCCCTACAATACTAAACCCCAATCCTTCAGAGCCTTTCTCCAAAGTAATAATCTTAGGTGGAGGTGTTCTGAAAACACAATGCACGCTGTTTAATTCAAGAATAGATATTGAGAGGGAATTTCATTTTAATGGAAGAACACAGATTTGAGAGAGACTTTCATACTGCGAAACTATGAAGGCCAGTTTATGAAATCGAACTCTCAGAGAGCAACCTAGAAGCTTACTTTTACATTTCCTGTGTCGCGCGGGACTGATGAGCAGTATGTCTTTAATGACTTGATGTTTTAGGGGTTTCTCTTTCATAAAACTCACTGTTTTTTTAATGAAAAATAAAGTCATGATGCTGAGCTTGTCACAGCACTCTTCTATATGCTTAATTTTTAACCTTGACACTTACTGTTTAAAGCTGAATGAGACTGCCTTTATATCCTTAAAGAAGGTGCGGGCAGACGGAGAGGTGGGGTAGCGCTTAGCTTAGGGGCAGACCGCCAGTCTGCAGGTGGGCTTCTGTGCAGGATAGGGGACGCCAGCCCAAAAGCTCAGCACACGGCTGCTCCTTTTCTGCCCGAGTAGCCCCACACACCTCACCCACCACTTCCCCCTAGGGAACCCAGGGTGGGAACTCATTCTTCAAAGCCCCCCTTCCAAGGTGATGCTTTCCTTTGGGAGAGTTAGCCAATCCTCCTTTGTATCCCTCTGCAGTGGGGCCAGATGTCCACCACGCACTCGCTATACTGTGGCGTGCTGCTGAGTCATCTTTTTCCTCTACCACACTACGAACTCCTTAAGTCTCTGTCACCTGTCACCTCTGTTCCCGGCTGTCTGCATTGTGCTTGTCACAAACTCAGGATCATGACTGTGTCCGTGAGAAGCGAAATCCAGGAGAAAAGAGAGAAACCAAGGAGAAGCAAAATGGATAAAGATTGTTTGTTTCAAATGGGTAATTCAGATTTTCAAAGTTTCGTCCAGTGTGGAAGTCTTCTCTCTTAGAAATAACATGGCTAAAAATTAAATGATCTATGTGGGCTCAAGTCGTTTAAGCTTAGCGAATGCCAATTTCTTATTCCCAAATGCCCTTGTCCAAAGGGTAAAAACCTAAAGGAATCCCGGGATCCCGGCGCCTGCTGTCTTCCTCGTCGGGGGTTCATATTTACACATTGAGCGCCGCACCTGGTTTGTGGCAGCATGCATGTCCTAGGGGCAGAGCTGTGTGATACAAACTCAGCTGTTCATGGATTTAGAGAAATCTGCAAAACTGGGATATAAGCCACCTTTGCATATGCTGTTCTGTCTGACTAGAATATTCTTCCGTCTCCCCCTTCCTCAATTTTGCCCGGCTTATTTTCGGGTGGATTTTCAGCTGGTTCACACCGATGTACTTACTGATTGTTTACAGCAGGCAGTCCATAGTAACTGCTGAACGTCCATGTCCTATAAATTGCTAACTGTTTTCAATGCCACTCCTGCTTATTCCAATTCTTTTAAAACTAAGCCGAAGCAGTAGTGTCTCCAAGGACATGCCCTAATAGGGTTGTGCCCCACTTCCATGGTTTCACAGCACCCTGTGCTTACTTATCTTTCTCGTGGAACATGGCTCCCCTATACTTATCAACTCTTACAAACTTGGATTTATGGGTCTGTTTTCCCAATTCTCTGGCAATTCCTTGAGGACTGGGGCAATGCTTTCACCTATGTTTTTTAAGTTTGAATCCTCAGAGCCCAGTACTTGTACAGTAGCTGGCCTTCGGAAGGTGCTCAATAAAGATCTGAAATAATGATGAATTATCCCCTATGGCCACATGGTAATGATGTCATGAATTGGATTCATGGTTCCTCTTCCAAATGCAGCCCCCTGTTTCTAAGGATATTGAAACAGGAATCTAGATGTCCAAAGTCATTGTTTTAGAGCTAGGCCGTGGGAGCCACCAAATCATTAGAGACCATAATTGTGCTTCTTCGTGATGAGAGACCTGTTTTTGGGGGGGGGGGGTGGAATGTAACTCCACTCCTCAGTTGGCAACATCAGATGGAGTTTGCCTCCATTTATCTCACATTTTCAATTCGTTTTAATTTACTTTCATATAGAAGACTAATAAAAAAAGATCTCCAAATGTTAACAGCGGTTGGATTACAAATAATTTATTAATCCTTTTATGCTAGTGGTTACAGCCAGGAGCTGTGGTTCCTAGCAAAGGAACCAAGATTACAAGGGCATCTCTGCACTTCCATAGGACACCAAAGGATGCTAAAGGTGCACAAGCTACCCTTCCTATAATAGGGTCAGGGCCATTGTAACTTGAAAATATAATTTTATGTATTTGTCATATTTTAATAGCATGCATTTATTACTTTCATAATGAGAAAAAAGTAAAATGAGCTTAAGTTTAATATTCCTTCCTCAAGAAAAACAAACTCAAAAGTATCATTTAAGCTGTGAAGTACCAGGAGAAAGTTCGAAATGTCTGTGATCAACAGCGCTTTCCAATGAAACATTCAGATCCATCAACAAGCATTTACTGAGCACCTACTGGTGACCAGGCACTGGCAGTACTGAGAGGCATAACTTTAGGCAGCATTTCTGAAAGTACAGCATTTCTGAAAGTACAGATCCTCTGCCGATCTGTAGCAAAACTGCCCTGGGGAATCCACTGCAGACCACCTCATCAGAGTCTCTGAGAATGGGGCCAGAGAAATGAGCCATTTTCAATATGCTCCTTGGATATTTAATGTGCACATTCCAGTGTGAGAAACACTGCTTTCAGGAACAATTGTAACAGCAATGATGGGTTTTAATGAAGAATGCCAGCAAGTATAACAATAAGATTTAATCTCGGAACAAGATTTTAGCTTAGAATACACAGTTCCCTGCATAATAAAGCAGGGTGCACCTGGGTTGTAAATCTGTGATTTCTTAAGGAAGAAGGAACCGTGTCAAAGTAACCAGATGCAGTGTGTGTGCAGGCCCTTGAGAGCAGTCTCTTAAGAAGTTCTACGTGGAACCAAGCCTGGTGAGAAATCAGGAAACTTTGGTGCATTCCTGGAGATTCTCTAGGAGTTAGGAAAGGTAATGTGTACTTCATCCCTCTTCTTCTCTAGAGAGCACACTCTAGATTCTGGAAAGGTCTCGCTGAGCCTTGCCCACACACGTAATAGGCACTTTGCATCTAGCATACTCACTCTGTGTCTTCTGGGTGGTGTTCAGCAGTGGGAGAACCAAGGTGGTAGCTTGTAGACATGTTTTCAAGCTGAGTTGCTATGGCGCTTATATTGGTATCTGCTACAACCTGGGGGAAAATTAGAACAAGAAAATCCACTGTAAGTCAGGGGAGAATTAGAGAAACCATATGATATTCAATGACTGGTTCTCATCCTCATCGGACTCAACCTGTCTGCAGGATGGATTATTCTCTCAAACTACTGTCTTCATTTGGCTACCATGACACCATACTTTACTAGTTTCCTTTCTGTCCTGAACCTCTATGGGAGTGCCACAGGCTCCGTCCTTGAGTTTCTTCTCTCTCCCATTTAAACCTCCTCTTAGTTAGCTCATCTTATCTTGTCTCACCCTGCTTGATCATCTAAATACCATCTATGTAATACCAATCTATGTAATGATAATTCCTGAATCTGCATCTCCAGCACCACCTCTTAACTCCAGTTCTCTCTATCCAGTCACCAGTTAGTGGGATGTCCAGCAGGTATGTCAAAGCTAACATGCCAGCACTGAGCCCACCCCCTCCGACCTCTGCTCTGGTAGTCTTCCTCATCTCAGGTAACTACAGCTTCATTCTTTCGGTTTCAGCAAATGCCTTGGTGTCGTCCTTGACTACTTCTCTCACAACCCACATTCAGTTCTCATAAAATTCTATTGGTCTTTCTTTCTTTTTTTTTTTTTAAGATTTTATTTATTTATTTGAGAGAGAGAGGGAGAGCACAAGCGGGGGAGGGGCAGAGGCAGAAGAAGCAGACTCCCCGCTGAGCAGGGAGCCTGATGTGGGACTCGATCCCAGGACCCTGGGATGCTTAACGACTGAGCCACCAAGCGCCTCTCTATTGGTCTTTCTACAAAATCATCTCTTGCCTGGAGTTCTACAAAAGCCCCCTGGCTGTTGTCCTTGCTTCAGCCCCTCCCCGACTCACTCCATAGCAGCCAGAACGGTCCTGTTCAAACACAGCAGATGATTACACTCCTCTGCTTAAAACTGTCCAGAGGAAACCCAGCTCCCTAAGGTCACAAGCTTAAGTCCTTACTATGACCCACAAGATCATCTGCAGGTAACCTGCCCAGTTATGTCTCTGCTTTCAGCTCTTAACATTTTCCTGTGTGGTCACGGTGCTCCAGCCACACTGGCCTTCTCGCTGTCCCTCTAACATGCCGGGGGCGTCTCCACCTCAGTGCTCCGCCAGTGCTCCGCCTTCTGCCTGGAACACTCTGCGTTCTGCACGGGTGGCTCCTTCACTTCCCACAGCTCTTTGGCCACTATAACTAAAATTTCCACACCAACACCCAGCCCAACATTTCATACCCTCCTCTGCTTTGTGTTTCCTTCTCACCACCACTACTGTCTAATAAACTTTATCTATTTTACCTTATTTATCTTATTGTCTGTCTCATCATATTAGAGTGCGAGGGCAGGAAGCCTGTCTGTTTCAGTCACCACTGTATCCTCATTATGTACAACACTGCCCGGCATATAGATGCTCAAATAATATTTGGTGAATGAAAGAAAGAATGAATGACTATCTCTGATTCCCTATTATTTGTTTTTTTTAAGATAGTTCCAAACAATAGTACATGACAGGTAAACATCCACTTTATATTTGTAACCTGCAAATAACATTCAAAAGTATTCAAAAGAAATATGGTATAGCTCTGACAGCTCATACTAGGACACAGAATGAGGTCTGGAGTTCAGTTTCTGCCATTTAAATGGTGCTGTGCCTGAATTTCAGCTTTCTCATCTGTTGAATGGGAATCATAAAAGCCTGCCTTGTATGCTTAGCCTGGAGATGCCTTCCATCTCCACTAGTTCTGAGCTTTTTTCTCCAGAGCTCCTGGGCTACTCCTGTTTCTGACCAGTGGTTCTTCTTCTAGGTTATAGTCGTCAGTGCACTAGTATGGAGTGAGGCACCTGACACCAATGCCAAGAACTGGATTTGACTGCAGTTTCAGAAAGAGCCAACAGAGGGCACGGCTGCCTAAACTGCTAAGTTTAGCTGCAACTAACAAATTAACAATAGTAACAATAGAGTTTTTACAACAAGGAAAGCAAGGGCCAGCCCTGGTGAGTCAGAACACATTGTGATGAAATATCCTATTCTGGGGGAAAACACAGCTGTGTGCAAGTTATGGAATCTTCTCGAAATACCATCATATACAGAATGGCTGAATGAACTGGGCAAATATTTAGGATAAGAGACAAAGAGGAAAAGGTAGATTTGCCTTGACCACAAGAGCCCCTCCACTTTCCATCAGCCCTTTCTGTACTCTCCCCACAGCAAGCGTATCAGAGAAGTTGTCTTTGCATTTGACCTCTGTAATCTCAACCTACACCATCTTCATGAACCACTCCATCCCAGCAGCCATCCCATCACCAGACCTAAACTTCTATGGCCCACTTTCTGGCCTTCCTCCTGCTGCTGGGGCCCACTTTTCCATCTCTTGGCTGTTCTACTCACCACCGTGGCTCAGTCCTGTGCCCAATTCCCACATGCACACTTAAGGTCTAGGTGACAACGTATATATTCCCATAGCTTTACTTTTTATTTTTTAAAAGATTTTATTTATTTATTTGACAGAGAGAGACACAACGAGAGAGGGAACACAAGCAGGGGGAGTGGGAGAGGGAGAAGCAGACTCCCCGCTGAGCAGGGAGCCCGATGCGGGGCTCGATCCCAGGACCCGGGGATCATGACCTGAGCCAAAGGCAGACGCTTAACCCACTGAGCCACCCAGGTGCCCCAAGATTGAAAATACTTAATTGCTCACTGGTGATGACCGTCTAACTAGAAAGGATGCCAGGATGCTAACCACACAGGTGCTTACTCTCTGAGTATCAACCTGATACATCATCCCTCTCTCACCTACCATATGTAATCCACCACCAAGTCTTCTGGATTCTACCTCAAAAATGGTTCTCAAATCTGTTTCCTTTCTGCTTCTGTGGTGACCATCCTAATCAATTCATCATCATCATCTGCCTTTTAACTGGCATCTCCACTCATCTCTTCTACACAATAGCCAGTTATCTTTTTCAATATAAAATGGATAATGGCACTCCCCTGCTTAAAACCTTTAGGTGGTCTCTCTCTGTACTTAGAATAAAATTCAGACTCCCTAATTATATACACAAAGGCCCTCCCCTAGCCTGCTCCTCTAATCTCATCATTTTCCTTCCGCTCCACATTCCAGTTCTCTCTGCCCACAATCTGCCCACCCGCAAAAAAACACCAGTTGGTCTGGTAGCAGCTTACAAGTCACATTCCTTATACAAGCCTTCTTTACTACTGGTGCTTAAATTAATTTCTCTTGTTTTCCTCTCCATAGCACTCCCAGAATATTTCTCACAAATTGTTATGATACATATTTCCGTGACTGCTAACGGGTCTCCCCCACCTCCCCATCACAGGATTCATGAGGGTAAGGACTGCTTCTTACTATTAATATGCCTGGCATGTAACAATTGCTTAATGAGTATTTGTGGAGTGAATGAACCCAAAACCTTCCTAAGGAATAGGGATTATGGGACTCAATTTTCTGAATTTCCACAGAACAGAGTGAGACTGATAGAGGTTACAAGGAGATTGGTTTTGGGTCCTTTTAAGAAGAAAAAAACTCTATAGTCAGGCCGTTGCAGAATGGAACGGCGCAGCTTGTTAGAGCATGAGCATCCTGCCAAAGCAAGCATTCAAATAGAGGCTCAGAATCTATCAATTTGGGATATAACAAAGGGGATTCCTATATTTGGTGGGAATTCGGACTTGTACTCTCAGCTGGCCATAAACAGACCATCCATTATGGGGCTGAAGAAAGTCAATAAAAGATTGTTTTCTGTAAGGTACCTTCAAAAGCCAAGTTTTGATGGCAACCTGCTCCTTTCCTTGCCCATTTGTTCAACCTAGGACAGCGCCACGACTACTGAGTATCAACTGAGCACTTACTTTATGCTAAGCACTCTCCTGAGTCCCTACAGAGGTAGGTACCACTATTATTTCTGTACCTTAGACAGACGAACCTGGAGCTGAGAGGTTAAGTAACTTTCCCAAGGTCAGTTAAGGAGTGAAGGCTGGTTTCACTTCCGTGTCATTTCACTCTAGAATCTTGTGCTCTTAATCATATGCAGTGTTAGGGTACAGATCTGGTCTTGGACTCTCACATCAGGCAATCTCACACTGCATATAGTTACGTACAGTCTAGATATGGCAGTCAGGGAGGAAGAGGGGTAGAGAGATAGTTCAACAAGCAGTTGCAAACAGAGCAGACCGTCCTGGCGTGTGGTTGACAACAGGCGGGAAAACTCCCTGGCTCTCACAAGGTATTATAAGAAGAGGGCTCAGGGCATGGGAAATATACGCCCATGGATGTTCTAGAAGGATCTTTTTTTCTTTTAACTTTTAGAAAGAGAATACACTTTCAAGAGTCCATGAAATCAGCCATATAAATTGTGAAACCAAAGTCACAGTTTTATTTGGGTAAAAATTAAAATTTTTTATCTAGCCAGAAAATATAAAAACACTTCTAACAGCCCCATCTTACAGAAAAACTCACATCCCTCTAAAATCTGAAGGCCTCGAGCGCCTGGGTGGCTCAGATGGTTAAGCGTCTGCCTTCGGCTCAGGTCATGGTCCCAGAGTCCTGGGATCGAGTCCCGCATCAGGCTCCCTGCTCTGCGGGGAGCCTGCTTCTCCCTCTCTCTCTCTCAGACTCTCATGAATAAATAAATAAAATGTTTAAAAAATAAATAAATAAAAAAAATCTGAAGACCTCTTGCTTACCCCCAGCCCTGAAATAGAAAGGGCCTTCCACCCATTGATGATATTAAATCCAAGGGGCTTACCTAGGATCCTTGGAGCTATTCAAGCTCCTATTTTGTAGGAGTGGAAGCCAAGAAGCTGGATGGGAAATGTGAAGGATTTTCACTGATGGCTTAGTCTTTTGTAGGAAGACAAGGAGACCGTAAACCCATCACCCCTGGAATATAGCCCCAAGGTGTCTCCATTAACCATCATTAACCATCTTGGCCTCAGAGCTGACTGGCCTTCCCAGGGATAGATATGTGAAAGA